GTGGGGCCCGGCGCCCTAGTCCCGCAGGGTAGGGCGCCCCACCCTCCGTCAGTTCTTCCTTGCCCTTTTGGGACCGAGCAGAAGACCCTTAGCTCTTCGGATGGCTGGGGAACTTTGTTTGCCCGCCTCCCTGAAAGTGGGCGCCACCTTTGAGTCACTTGTAAAAGGGGTGCGGCGCCTTTAACGAGTCCAGTCCCTCCTGTGTGACTCTCACCGCTTCCCCGAGGGGTTGCTGGGGGAACCACACGTCCCGCCCCCTCAAGGCTTCGAAGCCTCATCGGCCTGTGGTGCTCACCAAACACATGGCAGAGCCACGCCCTTCTGGCCGCCAGGATCCTACAAGGGAAAGGGGCAACCGAGGACCCCAGCTCTGTGCCTTGCTGGGTGGCCATGGGCAAGCCATTTACCCTTTCTTTTTTCTTTTTCATTCTTTCTTTTGTTTGTATTTTTGTGTTTTGGAGACAGGTTCTGGATTTGTAGTTCAGGCTGGCCTTGAATTCATTACGTAGGCCACGCCAACCTCAAAGTTTCAGGGATCCTCCTGCCTCAGCCTCCAAAGTGCTGGGATCACAGGCATGTGCCATGCCCAGCCACTTAGCCTTTCTTACTCACTTTTTTTCTGTGAAATTAGGTTATTGTGTTGCCTAAGTGAATCAGTACTCGTAAAGTTCTTAGAACAATGCTCGGAGCACAATAGCACACAAAAAAAGTGCTGTGTTTAGCAATTACTGTGTGTCATTTTCCCAGTCCTAGTAGCCATTTGAAAAGTCCCCCCCCCCCAGTGGTGGGCAGCAAACTTGTGTCCTTGCTCTTTCTGGCAAGTACTCAGATCACTGAGCCAGACCCCTCGCTCTGAGAAGTGGTTTTCATTTTTTTTTTTCCTGGTAGCCATCTGAGTTTCAGAATCCCCTCTCCCAATTTAATCCAGTGCCCTCAGTCCTGGGAGCTGATGGAGGCTCCCTTCCCATTGTCACCCTTTCAGATACTGTGCCTGGTGATTCTAATTTGCTTCAGTGCCTCGACATCAGGGTACTCCTCCCTGTCGGTGATTGAGATGATCCTTGCTGCTGTCTTCTTTGTCATCTACATGTGTGACCTGCATACCAAGATGCCGTTCATCAACTGGCCCTGGAGTGTGAGAAGGGAGCCAGCAATGCGCAGGGACCTGGGCAGTTGGGATTGTGCAGGGAACCCTGGAATCTGACTCACTCTTCTCCCAATACCTCACAGGATTTCTTCCGAACCCTCATAGCGGCGATCCTCTACCTGATCACCTCCATTTTTGTCCTTGTGGAGAAAGGAAACACTGCCAAAATCATCGCAGGGGTAAAGGCTGTGGTGACAGCTCCAAACTACATGGGAGAAGGGTTGGAGGATCCTGGGGCTGTTTCTGCCTCTGCTTCTGGCAGAAAGCATATGAGCCGTAGCAGGCCACACTTGCTCTTAGGTCCTGTCAGGAAGTCTGGCTTCCTGCCATAGTTTTATCTCCCAAGATCATTTGCTATAAAGAGTGTCCCTTGTCAGACACAGGACCTTTGGAAACACACTAGGGTGGCATCTGCCACAACTTTGTCACAACTGTAGTGTGGTGTGCTTTCTCCATGTGGGGCTACCATGTGACTGCCTTGTTTGAGAGGTACTAGGGGGTAGGGTGGGGCAGAATCTAGCCTCCTGGCCTCTTCTAGCACCTCTCAGGCTTTGCAGTCGGGGGTTGGAGTCACCGTCCTGCATGGGCTGGTCCCTAGAGTTGGTGGCTATGGACATAAGAGGTGGAATGGGCCAACCACTTAATCTACCCCCTTCATTTCTGTCTGCACCCCCCAGGTACTGGGCCTAATTGCTACACTGCTTTTTGGCTATGATGCTTATTTCACCTTCCCTCTTCGACAGCAAAGACATACAGCAGCCCCCACTGGTAAGTGTGTGTATGTGTATTGTTGAGAGAGCAGAATGCAAAAGGAAAGAAGGGATCTCCCAAAGAAAGGTATGAATGCCAATGCCGTCCCTTACTGGTACTTATAGCTTTTGTACCTATACATACCATAAGCCTCAGCATTCTTGTCTGTAAAATGGGTATATATTGAGTCGATGCTTTCTTTTCCTTCTGCAGACCCTACAGATGGCCCGGTGTAGGTGAACTCTGCACCCTGCAAATAACTCCTCCACTGAGAAAACTCCTCCCCATCCCCACAACACTCCCAGCCCCCTATTGAGGTAAAAGTGCCTTTATTGGGAGAATTTTGTCTTCCAGCTTGCCAAGCAACCCTCCTGGGTGTGGTCACCTCTATGGGTGTGGCCAGGTCTCCCTTCTGCAGCATCCCAAAGGAGACATCAGTTTTTTGTGGACCCACACCCGCTCCTAAGTTACAGAAAGGGAGGGGGTGCCTCTAATTTCAGAGTGTAAGCTCCACTGGTGACCCACTGGAATGACCTCCTCAGTGTAGAGGGTGGTTCTTTGGAGTGGAAAATAAACAGATTGCTAAAATCTATGATAATGAATAAATTAATCCTCTGATCAATTGTGGATAAATCTCACGCATCAGGAGGGGAAGTTTGGGGGGAGGGGGGCAGCTGGAGCCAGGAGGCAAAGAAGCAAGGCCTGTTTTACAACACATTAAATTACTTCAGTAATACAAACAGGAAAGAGGGAGGAAGGAAGGGGATTTATGACTTCGTTTCTGGTGTGTGTTGTCATGTGCAGACCAGAGAATGGAGCCCCCTCTGGGATTGTCTGCTTTCAAGCCACAATACAGTTCTTGTCCCGGGCCTGGCGAGGTATCCCTAGCTGAGAGTCCCCAGGGAGCTGCAGGGCTGTGGAGTTGGTCTCAGATGCAGTGTCCTGAGGGGTCCTGGGCCTGCGCAGGTGTGGGGGCAGTGGGATCCGTTCCCCTAGGAAGAAGCCATCATCCTCGGAGGACTCAGAGCTGGGACTGGAGAGTGAGCTGGAGCAAGATCCTGAGTCTGACCCTGATGCCAAGTCACACTGATGGCGGCCATGTCTGCCAGAGTGATGATGACGATGGTGGTGGTGGTGGTGGTGGTGATGCCTGCGATGCCGAGGACGGTTGGGGGCCCTGGGTGGAGGACTGCGGGGCCTGCGGCGCTGGGCTGGGGGTGCGCTCAGGGTCCGCCGTGGGCCTCCCTCAGACACCAGCGGGTCTCGGAAGCTGACACGAGGGGCGCTCTGGCGACCAAAGGCACCATCTTCCTGGTGCAGGTCAGGTTGCCCAGGAGACGTGAAGGGCAGCTCTGGAGCACTGCGGAGCCCCAGCTCTGGCATGGAGTGGCGGTGGGGGGCCCCTCTCAGAAAGTGAGAGGGCTCCTCGGGGCCTGCAGCCGGGAAAGAAGAGAGGAGTGACGGACTGGGACTCCCTGTATCTGCTCCCCTGAGCTGCCCTCTCCTGCAAGGAGACCTGAGGAAAGGCTTGCTTTCCCCCAACTAGGACTAGTTGCAGCGGTGGCAGGTGTCAGAGACTGGCAGGGAGGTGCGGAGCTGGGAGTTTTTGAGGCCTGGAGCAGGATATAGGTCGGAGAGATAGGAAGTGAGGCAAAAGCACCCAGGCAGGGTCGATACATAGGGCGTGGCCTGGGAATGGGGAAGTGGTTTGGATGGAAGGGGCTGCATGAGCTGGAGCTGATTTGGTTTTCGACAGAATGGGAGGAGGTTGGGCGGACTGAATGAAAAGGGAAACGGCTCTGGCAGGGCAAGTTGATGGAAGGGTAGGGCCCTGTGTGGGGAAGGTGGCAGGCAGACCAGGAGTCACAGAGGGCAGATGTAGTTTGGACTGCAGAGTAGGCCTTGAATAGAGTGGAGAAGGAGGTGGGGCCTGCTTCGAGAGTGAAGGGTCCGTGTGGAGGGGGCATGTGTCTCACCTGGCCCTGCCTCCGCGCAGGTGCTTTTGGTGGCCGTCTCTGGTGCCCCCTCTGAAGCAGTGAAAGAGGCTGTGGAGGCTGTGAGTGGGGGAGTGACAATGCCTGCGCTCCAGCTACGGCGGCCCGGGCCTGGGACCTTGGGCTCTGACCCAAGACTGCAAGCTCGAGAGCAGAAGATTAGGCCATGGCGGGGCAGAAAGGGGCGGCCCAGCAGGGCTCGACCACAGCGACTGCAGCAGAAGCAGTGGTCTGAGGCATGCCAGTGCTGGCCCTCGTAAGCCATCTGGCCCTGGTCCAGACCTGCAGGGACCAACACGGAGGGTAAATTGAGGCGGGAGCGCCAGACAGACTGAATGGCGCCTTTCATAGGCAGAAGTGAGGAATCTGAGGCAGGGTACCCTAATTTGCTTCCCCCTTCTGGAATGGGGCTCATCTCTGGAGAAAGCAGGAAACTTGGGGTTTGGTCCTCACCCCATGATTCCTCATCCCCTTCTGGAGATTGGCTGGTAAATGTCTCCCTCTCCCTCCTCCCTTTCTTTCCCAGGGGTCCTCCTCTGGGAGTGAAGGTGAGCATTGGACTCTAAGATGTGGGCCAGGCTTAGACATTAAAGGTGGAAGGTGAGGGGAAGGCTGGACTTGAAGAAGAGGCCTGGGTGGTAGGGGCAGGGTTTATGGTATCACTGAAGGTGGGACCTAACCTAAGCTGATGAAGAATAGCACGTAGGTCAACAGCTTGGTGGGTGGGTAGATGTGTGGAGTGGTGGCCTAAGGTGTGGGTGGGGTTTACAAAGACTGGCATAGACGGAAGTGAGACTTGCAGTGAAGGGCACAGGCTTCTGGAGCTGGGACTAGACTGCAAAGGTAGAGCATAGTGCGAGACGGGGCCCAGAGGACAGGAGGGCTCCTGTGGGGTGTGACTGTAGCCCCGCTGTCCATGCACCCCTCCATCCAGTCCCATCGCGTTCACCCACCGATGTGCTCCCCACAGCTGTCACAGTACTCGGCGTGGCGGGCCTCGTAGCAGGTGCAGCAGTGGGGGCGGCTCTGACGCATGACATATCGCTGTCCTCCTAGTGAAGCTTCACACTCAAAGCAGCAGAAGTGACCCATGTGCCAGTGCCGGCCCTCAGCCTCCGTGCACTCAGGGGAGAAGATGATCTGGAGGGTGCAGGCCATCTACGGCTGTCAGAAGGGCCAGACCCTGGCCCTGCCTACCCTCCACTCCCACCCCTGGGCAGGGGGAGCAAACCTCATCACAGGCTTGGCAGCGTGGGCGCAGGCGTTCAGCATGGTGACGCCCGCAGTAGACCTTGCCAGCATGATAGAAGTAGATGAGGTCAACGAGCAGCTCCCGGCATGTGGTGCACACAAAGCACTGTGGGTGCCAACAGGCCCCCAGGCCTGCACGACTTGCAAACACTGCAATGTCCCCACCTCTGATCTGCTTCCCACACTGCCAAATGACAGGGAGACGGTCACCATCACCAAGAGCAGGTTGATGGGGTCAGCCAGGTATTTCACATGAGGGTCTTCCTCATGGTGAACCTTTGTGACGGGCCCCACCTTAGGGTACCTTTGGCTGGACATTGGCCATAGTCATGGGAGAAACCATAGAGACAGGTCCTACCCATCGTGGGTGGCCTTAAAGGTAAGCCACCTCCATAGTGGGATAAAGCAGACATAAAGGCTGGCCGGCCCCAGTGGGGAGCCATAGACACAGTCACCACCCAGCAGGACCTCAGCCACGATGTGTTCCAACAGTGTTCTAAGGACAGAACCTTCCCACTACGCACTTGCAGACAAACTCCACCCATCACTCAGCTCTGAAGACAGGCTGCTGCTGCGGGTCACTTTTGCTTTTTTGTTTTTGGGGATGGAATCCAGGGCCTTGCACATGCTAAGCAGGCAGTTTACCATTAAGTCACACCTCCAGCTTGTGGGTCAGTTCTTAAGGACAAGTCCTGACCACAAAATGACCAGAGAGCCCATGCTGGGACTCTACTGCGTGGAGGGAGGAAACCACAGAGAAGACATGCAGGCTTCCTTTGAGACAAACTGCCCCATAATTAAGATCCGAGGAACAGGTCCTATCCACTAGGGGGTGTTACATACACAGCCAGTCCACCAGAGGAAGCCTGGGTCTTAAGTGGCGGGCCTGGGCTCCCCAAGCCTGGGGCTTTACCTCAGAGGCCCTTAGCGCTCACCTCCTCACAGATGGCCCCAGTGATGGTCACTGGGAAGATGCGCACGGTGCCACGCCCCAGATTCTCCCGCTTCCGCTGCTGGCTGAAGGCTCTAAGTTCTTTTTTCTCCTCTTCTTCCAATGCCGTGCAGTACTGGGCCTGGGGGGAACAGGGGTCTTCTTGATTTCACCCACTCCCAAGGTTTACTTCTAGGCCTTTGTACAGGGTGGTGCCTCCTGCATGAAATACCTGCCCCTCACCTCTTCTAACACCCAGATATGGTTTTGTCAAGGAATGGCACCTGATGGCCCCCTGGCTGTCCAGAACTCTCACCTCAGTTCAGCTCACTTTTGTTTCTCTGACCTGCCAATTTCTCTCTAGTTGCTTTGTATTTGTGATCTGTACCTGGCATACCTTCCTGTCCTTCTTTTGTGGTACTGAGCGTGGAACCCAGGGCCTTTGCACTGAGATGCATCCCTAGTCCTTTTATTATTTTTTTCTTTCTTCTTCCTCGTCCTTTTAAAATTTTAAGACAAGGTCATGCTAAGTTGTCCAGGCGGGGCTCATATTTTTGGTGCTCCTGCCTTAGTTTCCTAGAGTGCTGGAATTGCAGGCAAGCACCATTAGCCCAGCTCCTTAATTTACTTTTTACAAAAAAAAAAATTCTTTGTTTTTTTTTTTTGAGACAGGGTCTCACTATGTAGTTGAGACTGACCTGGAACTCACTATGTAGCCCAGGCTGGTCTCGAACTCATGGCGATCCTCCTGCCTCAGCCTCCAAAGTGCTGGGATTACAGGCGTATGCCACCATGCCCGTCTAAAAAAATTTTTTTTTTGTTTTTTGTTTTTTTTGACACAGGGTCTCACTATGTAGTTGAGATTGTCCTGGAACTCACTGTGTAGCCCAGGCTGGTCTTGAACTCACAGTGATCCTCCTGCTTTAGCCTCCCAAGTGCTGGGATTATAGGCGTGCGCCACCAGTGTTGGCAAAAATATTTTTTTTGAGATATGTCCTCCAGGCTGGCCTTGAACTCATGGTGATCCTTCTGCCTCAGCCTCCCGAGAGCTGGGATTACAGGGGTGTTCCACAATACCTGGCAACCTTTTTTTATTTTGGGGGGCTGGGTCTTGCTAAGTAGCCGAGGTGTGACTTGAACCTGTGATCCTCCAGCCTCAGCCTCCCTCAGGCCCTTCTTGTCTTCTCTCCTCACCTCACTGTCATGTGGAGGCAGCTGGTGCAGCAGTTGCTTGATCCTGTATTTCTCCCCAGGACTGTTGACATAGGGGACCTTGTCCTCTGGAAGGCAGCTGAAAAACTGGTATACCTGGGAGGACATAGTGGGTGGGAGAAAACAACTGAGATTAGGGGTGAGTTGGGATGTGGCAAGATGTGTCTCTGTTTCTCAGAAAAGTCAAGTCATTAGAAGGGAACTTCTCCTGACTCCTTTCCCTCCTTCCTAAAGCTCGCAAACATGTTGAGTGTTCCACCATGTCTTCTTATTTCCTTGTTTTGGTTTTTTTCCCCCTGGTACTAGAGCTTAGGCTCTGTACACTGAGCTATATCCCCGGCCCTTTTTTTTTTTTCCTTTTTCTTTTTTTCCCAAAATTTTTATTTTGAGAAAGGGTCTCACTAAGTTGCTAAGTTGCCCAGGCTGGCCTTAACTTGCAATGCTCCTGCCCTAGCCTCCCTGAGTGCTGGGCTTACAGGTGTGTGTCACCACACCAGGTTCGTCTCTGGCACTTTTTATTGTTTTGAGACTCTCCATTAATTGTCCAGGCTGGCCTGGAACTCACTTATGAGCCTCCTGCCTAGGCCTCTTGAGGCTTGTGCAACTGTGCCCAGCTTTCCTTATGTCTTGACCCTCCTCGGCCCTTCTGCCCCGCTCCACTTTTCTCCTTCCCTTTACAGAAAAATTCCACATAGAGCTGTGAGCACTCATGTGCACTGAACCTCCTGTCCTCCCCTTCTCTCTCAACCCTGCTCCAACCAAGCTTCTCCCACCCCAAAGCTGTTGAGCCCCCGAGGTTGTTTATATTGTGAAAATCATTGGTAGGTTTCAGCCTTCATTCAACTTGACTGTGATAGTCCTGGATCCAGCTGATCACGCCCTCCTATGTATCTATCTCTCTGTTCTCCACAACGAGCCAACTACACCGAAGCCTGCGTCATCACCAGGCACCTGGACCACTGCCGTAGCCTCTTCCTCACTCTTCTCTCGGTTCCCTCCCTCTTTCCTACAGGCTGATACAGCAGTCAGAGAGCCTGTTAAATCACAGAACACATCACTTCCCTGCTCTGCTCACATCCCTCATGTGACCTCGCCTTCACTCTGTGTCAAGGTCCTCTCCATGGCCCTGCCACCTCTCTGACCTCATTTCCAACTGCTCCCCCGTCACACTGCTGGAGTTGTGCCGGTCTCCTCACTATTCTTCACGCATCTGTGACAAGCACACGCCTCCCTCTGGGCCTTGGCATTGCTACTCACCTGCCTGGATCATTCTAACCTTAGATATCTGGCAGATATCACCTCCTGCAGGGCAGCTCAGACAGGCCATCCGCACAGACGCTTATCTGGGCACTGTACAATTCCAGCCTTTGTCTCTGCCTCTCTCTCCCTTCGTCCCTTCCTTGCCGTTTTATTTATTTATTTTATTATTATTTCTTTTTTGACATAGGGTCTTCTTATGTAGTTCTGGCTGGTTTTGAGCTCACTATGTAGCCCAGGCTAGCCTTGAACTCACAGTGATCTTCCTGCCTCTGCCTCCAAGTGCTGGGATTACAGGCGGGCTGCCATGCCTGTTTTCTTCCCTGCTTTTTTGTACCATAGCCCTTAAACCATCTGACATACAGTCAGCCTTCTTAATCGCTGAGTTCCATATCATAGTCTCAACCAACTTCAAATAAAAATATGAAAAATTGCATTGGAACTGAATATGTACAGATTTTTGTCATCGTTCCATAAACAATATGCTATAACTATTACATAGCATTTTCACTGTATTAGGTATTTTAAGTAATCCAGAGAAGAGTTAAAGCATATAGGATAGGGGTGTGGCAGCACACACATATCATCCCAGTACTTACAAGGCTGAGGCCGGAGGACTGCATATTTGAGTCAGCCCGAGCTACATGGAGTTTAAGGCTCAGGCTGGGCTATATAGTGGGACTCTGCCTCAAGAGAGAGAGAGAGAGAGAGAGAGAGAGAGAGAGAGGGAAAGACAGAGGGAAAGACAGAGGGAGAGGGGGAGAGAGAGAGCAAGAGGGAGAATTACACCATTTTATACAAGGGACTTGAGCATACATGGATTTGGCTATCTGTTTTGGTTTTTGACACAAGGTCTCACTATATAGTGGCTGGCCTCTGGTCACCTGCTCGGGCTTAAGGCCCGGGGGCACCCAGGCATACTCTTCGGATGCACAGCCTGAGTCGTCGTCGGAGATGGAGTGGCGCTGGAAGTCCGAGATGAGCCGACACATGATGCGTTCCAGATCCACAGGCACGGTGTGCACCGCGTGCTCCTCCCTTGGGCATTTGCAGTGTTGGCAGATCTTTCTTCCGGGGGAGAGGGTAGGTCAATTACTAAGGAGTTGCTTCTCCCGACCCACCCAGATCCCTCAGAGGGACACACAGATTACAGGGCTCTGCACCTGGGCTGGGGCTGACAGTGGGGCTGAACCGAGGTCTGGCTGTGGGTCTCTGGCCAGGCCGTGGGGAACAGGGCACTGGCTGTGAGGGGCTCCGCTTCCAAGGGAAGGCAGAGCTGTAAAACAGGGGCCGGGGGAACTGGGGGTGTGGCCTGGGAGCCGGGGCTGCGGGATCTGAAGAGGTGGGACTGTGGGTCCCTGAGGATTTCCCCTAACCTTCCTTCCAGCTTAGGGACTTGGTTCAGACTCTGGGCAGCGGGCCAAGAGGGGTGGAACTCCGGGACGGAGTATGGAGTTAAATCTTGGAGCTTCCCCTCAGGAAAGGCTTGGTGCTTTGTAGGGAAGCTGTCAAGCCTCTGAACTTGCTTGGGTGTCGGGGGTGGTGATCCTGTGGGATCGTGGGCTCTCTGTGGTCTTTTAAGAGCCTCTGGGTGCTGGTATCCAGTAGGAATAGGACACTGGGCCTGGGTGAAGAGTTCTGAGCCTAAGAAGGACGCTGAGGGGAGGAGCACCAGGGTGCTGTAAGGCCCAGGAAAGAGGATTCCCTAGGATGGGACTCCAGCTTGGGAGGACAATTGGGGGCCGGGCTCTGTAGTGGGTGGCGCTCTCCGGTCAACTGAACTCTAGGGAAAGCGTCAGGGGGCGAGGTTCTGCAGGAGAGTTTGAGGCTCCTTTTTCCGGTGGAGGTCTTTCCCCCAGCTCGGGCCTAGGGGCGTGGCCTGAGCCTCCAGGCGTTTCTCCCGAGGGCGGGGCTCTGACAAAGGTGGGTCCTCGGGAGGGTCTCTTACCTCCAACCGTGCAGCAGGAAGCCCGGGCACTGCTCTCTGCAGGAGTTGCAGGGCTGGCCCCGGTCTGGGTCCTCTGCTTCTGGAGGCTGTAGTGGGTGGGGGCCGACACACAGACACAGGGCCGAGGAAGGGGCCGGAGCAGGGAGAAGTCAACGCCTGCTCCTCCCCTCCCAGGCCCGCGACCACAGGCTGGGGCCTGTCCTACCAGGGCAGCGCCGGGCAGGCTGTGACAGCGCCTGGAGTGCGGGGGGTGGGGGTGGGGACGGACCACAACCAAGCCGGAGGAGGGGCATCTGAGGCCACCTCCCCACATCGCCCCTTTCAAGTAATTGCCCTGTCTGGGCTGCTCCCCTCTCCCCCTAGCCTTGGACACCTCTCACCAACCTTCAATTTCTCCGGGCTCAAACACCTCCAGAATCAGAGTTCACCGCCAGAGCGGAGTCCCTAATCTAGGTATCCCCTCCCAGGCCTCATCGTGGTCCCACCGCCACCGGTGATGCCAGCAGCACACGATAGCCATGGGTAGAAGTCTGAGATCCCATTCTTCCTAGAGATCACCACAAGAACCCCGCTTGTCCCTTCAGGAGCCCAACAACCCCTCCCCGAAGCCCTAGCTTCATTCCCTCTTACCTAAAGAACCAGAGATCCTCCCCCAGGATCTTAGGAGGCCTCTACTCCATTCAGAAACCTCTACAACAAGAAACCTTGGCATTTATTCTCATATCCTAGGACTATTCACTTCTCTGGAACACCAAAACCCAGACCCTACATTTGCTGGTCAAAGACCCCCTTCAAAGAAAAATTCCCGCCTATCTAAGAAGTCAAAGCCTCCCAGGCTCGGGTGGAAACTTGGAAGACCTGTTACCCAAATCCTAGTGCCTCAACCATAAGCATTGGGGCACCCCAGGATCGTAGGACCCCCTCCGCTCACACTATATTCTTCCAAGATATGGAGGTCCCTTGCCTCAGAAACTGAGGAGGTCCCTGCTCAACTCGACTCATTCTTGGCCCTTAGAACCCCCTCCCATAATTCACAGGAAAAGGGAGTCCATAGGTCTCAAGGGTGTTGATAAAGTGTGCTGGGAAGCCAGGCATGGTGGTGATGCACGCCTGTAATCCCTGCACTCCTGTGGCTGAGGCAGGAGAATTACCTTGCGTTCAAGGCCAGCCTGGGTTACATAGTGAGTTCAAGGCCAGCCTGAACTACCTAAGAGATCCTGTCACAAACAAACACAAACAAACGTTCCCAGAGGTGATTAGGGAGCACGGGCCACCATATAACCTTCAACCTTTAAGGCTTCAACCTTACACCTCCAGCAGCCAGCGTTCAGGCCAGGGAAAGCTGGGGATGGGGATTCCCCGGCCTGTGACCCTCCTCCTTGCCATCCGAGTACCCCGTCCGCTCGCCCGGACCTCAGTTTACCCTTGATCCCCACCTGCCCCGATTAGCGCTCACCACACGCCCGGAGCGGCGCCTCCGGGATCCACGAGCGAACATGGCGCGTCCAGACAGGGTCAAGTCAGGCCGGGAGAGGTGAAGGGGGTTCTGGCGGCCGCCAGGCCACCGTGCGTCCGGCCAGGGAGCTGTGTTCCGTAAACCTGACACCCGCGTGGGAGGAGCGCGTTCCGTAGAGCCCGCCCCTGGGCCTGTGCTCTCCGGGTGGCACCCCTGCCTAAAGGTGAGCTGCTAGGAGTGCCCCACTCTCTCCGCCCGGCCGGAGCGGGGCGTTCCAGAGGCAGGACCTCTTGAATCTCAACACGCCAGTGCCACGTATCCTCTAGGGCTCTAAGGCTGCGGTGGAGGAGGTGTTGGGAGTGGGTGTGCGGGTGGGTGGGGGACTTGGAGGGGACGGCAAGGGGTATATTGACGCTTTGTGTGGATTCATCTTGGATGCTTATTTGGGGCAAGGGTTAGAGCCATCTCTAGTCCTTCTCCACTAGTGAGGGCCTCACAATCTTTCCCCAGATACATGTTTCAAGAATGGCCCTCCACTTTATTCCACCAGCTGGTTTTCCATGACTCTCACCAGACAGCTAGACCCTCCCTAGTCCCTTTTCAGAGCCAGGACTATTTGAGACTTCTGTGGAGGGGTTCCAAGGCCCTCTTCCTCGCTCCTCCCAAGCTTAGGTGTTGTGCCCCTAAGTGCAGAGATTGGGATCTTGGTCTGCTTTCCCTCCCCCGCCCTCATTTTCCTCTCTCTAAGATCGGTTCAGAGCTGGGAATCCTTCCTTCCCGCTCGCCGGCTTCAGCTAGGAGGAGGGGACCCCGCGGGCGCAGTCAGAACTCGGGCGCCGGGCCGGCCGGCCGGGGTCTTTAATTAGGCAGGAGGCGGCGGCGGCCAAGCCGGCCTTTCATCGTGGGCGCCGGGGAGCTCTCCCCCCACTATTACACACATCCCTGTCACTACTCGCCCCTCTGGTCCCAGGGAGGAGTCCGGGAGAGGGGAAAGGGAATGAATATATTGACAAAGGAAGAGAGCCGCCACCCCACCTCCCACCTCCAACCCAGCCGGTCTTGCAGTTTCCAGCCTGGGCGGAGGCGAGGAAAAGGCCAGACAGCAGGATCTGAAGATGAGGGGGTTGGGTAAGGTGCGGTCTCGCTGTGGAGTCTCCCTGTTACCGGCCACTCAGGTTCAGATGCTTAGGTTCCTTTGCTTGTCGTTGACCAAAGAGGCCATGTATTTTGGTAAAAAAGAAAAAGGATTTACTCAAAGCTAGCGCTAAGGAGATGGAGGAGGCCATTTGCCTCGAATCACCATCTCACCTAGTACAGGTGGACAAGGTCTTATACCGAGTGACAGAGGGGAGCACAGCGAGACAATGGAGACACCCACACCTGCCTTACCACTCCAGCTATCTTTGGTTCATTCCTCTTTCTTGTGGGAAGGAACCTTTACTCACATCTGTATATCCTGTCACTTATTTTAGGCTGAGGGGAGGAAGTGTTGGTTACATGTTCAGCAGGAGAAAGTTTGGAGAAATTGCTTATCTCAACAAGAAAAAAAGTCTAACTTGTAAAGTTCTATCTTGCAGTACTGGTCACATCCTGTCAAGGGTTTTAAGGAGAGGGATTCACAGGAGCTGGAAAGTATCTTGGCTAAGGGGGCAGAGAACCAAACCCTAGAAAGACTGGGTATCTGGTGGATGGTAATGGGGCAGTAAGCAGGGCTCTGCAGTGTGTGACTTAGAATGACGGGTAAGCAAGGCTTCGTGGGATCCATGGCAGTTACCTGCAGATCAGGCTCAGAGCTTCCTCTCCCTCATTGCTCCCCTTCTGACCTCGAGAATGACACACTAAGAATTAGAGGCTGAGAGTGGTGGGGCATGCCAGTAATCCCAGCATTTGGGAGGCTGAAGCAAGAAGATTGCTGAAAGTTCCAAGGCAGCCTAGGCAACATAGAGAGTGCAAGGCCAGTCTGAGCTACCCAGTGAGACCCTGTCTCAAGAAAAACCGAAACCGAAAACAAAAACAAAAACAAAAATCAGGTGTGGTGGCACATGCCTGTAATCCCAGCACTTGGGAGGCTGAGGCAGGAGGATCGAGGCCAGCCTGGTCTACATAATGAGTTCAAGACCAGCCTGAACCATATAGTGAGACCTTGTCTAAAACAAAACGAAGGACTGGGGGATTTAGTAGCACCATGCCAGCCTTGCAAGCACAAGGTCCTGAGTTTGATCCCCGTACCCAAAACAAAACAACCCCAAAAGCAAACAGCCCCCCCCCCAAAGAAATTAGAGTCAGGTGGACTAGGTGGTTGAGGAGTTTATTTGGGGAGAATTACTCATGTTTGTTCTTCCTTGGGAGGGGGTCTTCAAACAATACCGAAGGGTGCAGGAGGGGGGGGTCTGGAGGGGAGAAGGGGCCACAGCCAGACAAAATGGCAACACACGATCACAGGCACTACTGACATCACAGACACAGCAGAGGGTGCAGGATAGGGGCTCCAGACCAGGCTTCCGACCACCCCTGGATGGGTGGAGGTGTGGAGGGAGGGAGGGGGCAGGGGAAGAGGAAGAGGGATGGGCCAGCCCCACAGACCCTTTGGCTCTGTCCTCTGATAACCTAGCTGTCTGATCAAGGGTGTGGGCAGGGTGGGGGCATTTCTGTCTGGATCCCACCGCTCACCCTTCAAGCCTTATCACTCAGCTCTTCCCAGGCCACCATGGTTCCACAGCCTTGGTCAGGTACATTTGCCCCTACCCTTAACCAAATTCACCCTGCAGCACCCCCCAGCCCATTGCCCAAACTCCCTCTTTAAAACACTTTTTTCTCTGCTTCTTTTGGGGAAGGGCCACTCCTTCCCAAACCATCACACAAGCCCCACTGTAAGTTCTGTCCTATCTGGTAGCCTCACTAGAACCTCATCCTGAACTTGGCCATTTCTCAAACCGCACTTCTTGCCCCAAGTAAGATCTATCCTTTTTATAATCAAGCTCACTCCTGAATGTTCCAATTAGAGTTCCAATCCAAGACCTGCCCACTCTGGAGCACACTGTCCACCTCACCTAAAGCCCACTACTTCGGGAGCCACGCCCTAACCCCTTCCAAGCCCCACCCCAGAATGCCTTGCGGACTCTTCCTTTAGACTCCAGATCCAGCAAGTCTGGAACCCAACCCCTGTTGACTAGCCCCCTCCATTTCACAGCTCTCCTCCAAGACCACCTTGGGTCCAAAGCTGTCCACTCTACCCCAAACCTCTGTCCTGATCTCTGCCTTTCTCTTACCCTAGGACTTGAATTTTCTATTACAGCCTCTGTTCAGGCCTTGCTAGAGGAACCAAGGCCAGAGTTAGGAGGTGGGAGGGAAAAGGAGAGAGAGTCTGAAATCACACCCAGCCTTCCCCACACAGCTGAGGCCTGTCTCCTCCCTGTCCCCCTTCCAGAGCCCCTTAACCTCAAGGAACAGGACCAGGAACAGAGAGGGGCTGAGGGATGCAGAGGAAGAGGTGGGGGTAAGGGAGGATCCCACTTAAGACCGGGCCCCTAGTGCATGAAGGAAATGGGTGAGGGCAGGGCTCAGACAGATAAATAGATATTTATATATATAATATATATTATATATATATATAAACAGCAAAGACAGTTAGGGTCTCCTGGCTTGAGGGGTGGAGACCTAGGGTACAGGGGCAAGAGGGGGGGCAGTACTTCTCTTGAGATCTTGCCCACCCAGGGGTTCTTCAGGGCTGCACTGACCTGTAGAGACAAAAGACACAGAAAGGAGAAGAGGTCCAGGCACAGGTGATGCCCTTGGGGAAGGCCTGGGCTGCTTTATCTTTGCTCTGGCTTTATTTTCTGCCATCTCTTTTTCCTTCTTCCTTCAAAGCCCTGAAGTCGGCTTCATCCCAGCTGTCCTCACTCGCAAGATATTCTTGACCTCCCCCACAACTGGGTTAGGCACCAAAGTGATTACGGTCCCACCTCCCAAATATCTATTAACTGGTACTGTTCTAGCTATTAGTAAGAAATTATATTGAACCGGACATGGTGGCATATGCCTGTGATCCCAGCACTCAGGAGGCTGAGGCAGGAGGATCACTGCGAGTTCAAGGCCAGCCTGGGCTACATAGTGAGAGCCCGTCTCAAAAAACAAAACGAAATAAATAAAAAACAAACAAAAAGAGACTATATTGAGCAAAACAAAGGTCCCTATCTTTGTGAGGCTCACGTTGTAGCAGACAGAGATGGACATCTCATAGTGAACATGATGTCTACTTGAATTTTCTAGTGTAATATAAGATGATAATGAAATGGGCTAAACAAAGTGGAGCAAGCAAGGGAGAGAGTCATAGGTAATGTCAGAAAGGTCACACAGGGCCTTGAGGACCAAGTAGTAAGGACTGCAGCTTTGTCTGGATGAGATGTAAGTCATGAGATGATTTGATTGTTTTTGGTTTTTTGAGATAGGGTCTCACTATGTAGCCCAGGCTAGCCTTGAACTTGAGGTGATCTTCCTGCTTCAGCCTCTCAAGTGGTGACGCACACCCCCCCACCCCCTGGCCATGGGATGATTTTGAGCAGAGATTACAATGTCTCATGTGACTCAACAAAATGTTTCTCGGTTTTTTTTTTTTTTCCTGTACCGGGGGTCAAACTCGGGTCCTTGTGCTTGTGAGGCAGGCGGCGGAACCACTGAGCTAAATCCCTGGCAAATGTTTCTCAGTAGTAAGAGTGCTCCGGCTGGGGATTTAGCTCAGTGGTTCTGCCGCCTGCCTCACAAGTGCAAGGAAAAAAAAAGTGCTCTAAGTGATTTGTGTACAGCATAAGTCATGGTTACATCCCAGAGTCTGGTGGAAGAGACACTGAATAAACAGATGGGTGAGACTGTGATATGGAAAAGTACAGGGTACTATGAAAAAGATACTAAAGGGATTTATTTTAGACGGGGTAGTCAGGCAAGTACTCCCTGAGCAAGTGACCCAAAGAATGAAAGGGAGCTGGCCAGGGAAAGACCTTGGTGTGTGTGAGTGTGATGGGTATTTTGATTAGGCGTGGGATGCTTAAACACATTTCCTGCCCTTCCTGTCCTGGCTAACCTGGTGCCAGAAACTGCCTGACTCATCTCCCCTTGCTGTTTCTCTTCATCTTCCCCTTTCCTATTTGGGGGAAATCTCATGTGTAAACTCCACTGTGACTGATGTGTGTGTGTGTGTGTGTGTGTGGTTGAACCCAGGGCCTTCTCACTGAGCTACATCCTTAGTCCTACCCCCCCCTTTGGTA